TAAAAACAAAATTTTTTGTACAATCAGGGGCCATAATTCAGGAAGTTACTATCCGATATGCACGAATATCAAAATGAACCAAGATCTTTGGGTTATAAACTTACATTTCAAGTTTCATCAAATTACAAGCCAAAAACACGATTTTTCGTACAATCAGGGGCCATAATCCATGAAGTTACAATCTGATACATGCAAATATCGAAAGGAACCGAGATCTTAGGGAGATAAACCTATATTCAAGTTTCGTTGAAATTGGATAAAAATTGTGACCTGTAGAGTGTCTACAAACAATTGTGGATGGACGGACAGGGGCGACGACAATATACGTCCACATGAAAATGTGGGCGTATAAAAAAATTTTCAGGCACAAATTCAGGCTTAGTCTGGAACAACCCATCTTGCTGCTTGTAATTTAGTGCAGCACAGATTGCTTTTATTGATTTTATTAATACCTGTCTTGCACAAAATTCAACCATACTATATAGTTACTTATTTCAGTTCTGCCTAGGGTCAAGAATAATTTCAAAATTTTCGCAAATTGGGTTTGTCATGTCTGTAAAATGTTTGTAACAAGTATTGCATTACCTTCATGTACAGCCTGCAATTACTATGAAATTCACCTGAATATATTCTATAACCACTTTAAAGATGTGATTATAAAACTTGAATGGTAAATGAGTCAATCTCCTACATTGTATTATCATCAATACTGCTGTCATAAATAGACATTGTAATCAATCAAAACCGATCATATCTATTACATTCCATACATGTAGTTAATTTCTCAGCTATATTACTACATATATACATATATACTACATGTATATCATTACATCTATTTCAAATCTCTCTATCACTACATTTGTGTATACATGTACCTCAGTCATTTTTTTCTTTTACTTCCTATTGACAATTGATTACTTTATTACTATATCTGATGGTGTAAAAGAGATACCAAGTACAAAAAACTACAAGCTTTTTGTGCCAGATACATGTACCATTGTATCAGTAGGTGTCTGTAATCTGTATACTACATATACATGTGTTATTTAATGACATGCTACATATACCGGTACATTATTTGTATGATATTGAGAGGGAATGAGAGAAATGGGGTTTAACATCCACTTGACACAAACTAGGTCATTTTGGGACTAACAACATATGGTTCAATCTTATTTCAATTAATTTAATGACATACATGTACATTATTTCTATGTATATTGCTTGTTGAAATTAAATGATAAAAAATCTGATCCAAAAAGTGTTTTAATATCGATCAATTATGAAAGGGATAAAACAGAATATTAAAGGCACAACAATCCAGATCGTTCAAATTTATATCAAGTCAAAAATAAGTTATTTTAAACACTACGTGCATATCTACATAAAAGATATATTATGTAAGATTTAAATAAAGAGCTGACCATTCTTGCTATAATAGCTCAAAAATAGATAATGTAAAATGAAAATATTGAAAAAATTTCATTCAAATCACTTCATACTGAGCCAAGTTATCACTGTTTGTTGTTTTGACAAGATGTGTGCTTTGTGGTAACCAGGGTACTGGCATATTCAAGACTTTTTAAATTAAATTTTTAAATGGTGAACCGTTCTAATCTAGTTAAAATCTTGAGTATCCGATGCCACCGAGAGTCGATTATGGTCTTGTTTTGTTAATAAATGTCTAATTAATAGTTTATATAACATTTCAGGCCTAAAGAAAGACCTGCAATAGCCAGATTTAGCTCCTGCATAATGTATGTTTTAGCACATCTGAAGAATAGAAAGGCTTGCAAATAAAACACAAACAGTTGTCTACATCTAACAAATAAATCTGACAATGTGAAATCAATACAAATTAATGTAAACTTCAATTATTCATAACTTATATGTAAGTTAGAAATGATCAATTTGAATAATTTTGTGACAAAAACCCTATATTTATATTAACACTGTGCGACTTTCAGGGAATTTAGCTCGCCAACGTGTGTTACATGTATTAAGTATTAAGATCTTCAACACTTTATTTCAGGAGCAAATAACAGCAACAATTAAACAACTTATAATTTCCTATAAATCAGACCTCCAACTAGTATATTATAGGTTCCCTAAGCTGTTTGTGACATTTCGTTTCATATGTTTTCGTAATATTGTCCGGTGTCCCTATAGGTCCAGAGTAGCCAGCCAAATAAATTTGTTCTACTTATTCTAGCTCTTTGAAGCTTTAACATACGTTTTTATATAATAAAGAACATGTTGATTGTGCCTTTGGGGTCATAGTATAGTATTGCAATCAAGGCTTGTACAGGTGATGACGGGTGGTTGGATGGTTAGCGCGCACGTTGTAATGTATCATAAGGTCTGTCATTATATTCTAGCTCTTTGAAGCTTTAACATACAAATATGCCTTTTATGTTTTGTTATATAATATTAATAAAGAACACGTTTGATTCAATGATTGTGCCTTTTTGGGGCATAGTATTGTAATACAATCAAGGCATGGCTGAATGGTTAGTATGTGCGCGTTGTATCATAAGGTCTGCCATTGAGTCAACTGGCCGGGTTTTGATTTCCCAGTTGTACGTAACAAGGAGTATGATCGCCTGTCCAACCTCGTGGGTTTTCTACGGGTCCTCCACTTTCCTCCCACTGAAATAAAATTGAACCATGTCAGTCCCGAAATGACCTAGTTTGTGTTGAGTGGACATTAAACCTCATTTCTCTCTCTCACAGGTGATGACAAGGATTTTGATCTGTAAGGTGTCATTTCGATATCATTATTAATACAGTTAATAATATGCAGTATACTGGCCCGATCAAGTCTGTACAGGGAAACTCCTATTCGGTATGGGTGTTGAGAGGATTTAATCTATCCAGTAATAATCTCTTTCGTCGAAGTTGGCGATCCGCATAAAGTAACAAGGCGGCCATTTTGTCAAAGATACATACAGAATTCCTACCTATGATAGGGTGAGAGTTGTAGACTTTATGATAAAAGTTACGATTTTCTTTACAATTGTTTCTTAAGTTTTTCGCAAATTTTTCATGTAAGTTGCTTTGTGAAACTGCCCCCTGGTCTCCAGTACCCCACTAATTAAATTATTGTCATAATTTTGAAGCTCTATAAAAAGGTTCCCTCAAATTACAATGTACACCTACATGTACATGTAATCTAAATCCTGGCCAACTATACATGTAATCAGATTATCTTATTATGTGGTTCTCTTCTACATACTCACCTGTGTAGGCTTATTAAATTTGATCTACAAATTAATGTACTGTAAGCCTATACATATGGGCAATTTTGTTGTTATTAAAGCTATGCTGATCAATTCAAAGTAGATGTAATTCAATGTTTATCTACATGTAGCCACATTTACATGTACATCAACTGCAGAAATATTTTTGACTCTTTGTAACATTTAAAAAAAAAATAAATTCTTAAAATACATAAGCTTACTGTACATGTAGGCGCTGTTGCCTACATGTACATGATTGTGTACCAGGTACGTGTTATATGACTGTGACAAAAAAAAGACTTTAATTTTAATAATAAACGGTACGTTTATTACATGTACATGGGATGCAAAAGCGAGGCTGAAAAGGAATGGGAGCCTAGTCATTTGAAGGGGGTGTAAAACTATGTCCACTCAAGTATACAGTATATGTACATGTATGTAAAAGAATGCTTGGCAGCTGAATATTGAAGAAGTGTTCACAGAAATGCTTCTGTACGTGTAAAAATTGTCCTATGAACATTTACATTAACTATGAAATTGTCTCTGAGAAAGGACCCAAGTATTTTGCGACGAGACATTAAACCCCATTCCAACCTATACAGATACTGTACATGTCTTTACATCAATAAATGTGTGAATTATTGAATAAATGATCAATAAGCCAATTACATGTGTTTATCAAATAACACAGAATCATTCATGTGTGACAAATGGTATTGGACTGGTTCAGGTTTACTAGAAATATGTTTAATGTTCTTGTACAATGTATATAATCCAAATGATAATTAACTAAGTCAATCAAATCCACCCCCAAAAATGTAACGATATTGATTTTAATTTAAGATACCGATACCGGAAAATGTAATGTGTCAGAAAATAAGAGTGTTTATTGTTGCCTAAAGCTTATAAGACTATGAAACATAGTGTACGTCCACACTCCAGCTAAGTGTCAACCGAGCTGTACATACATGAATGTAAAGATTTCACATTTTTATTCTTCTGTAATGTACCGAAGGTACATGTATGTACATGTAACAATCACAAGACACTAAAAATTGATCAAGGGCAAACATGTCCAAGTAGTCTGATAATGGCCTTAGCCTCTAGAAGGTTCAATTCTCGTTTTAGATATTAGACTTCAGAATTTCTCTCTCTCTCCCCCATCCACAATTTTGGGATCGCACACACAACCCCCCCACTACTATCAACATCATCAAATAATTGCTTCGCTAACCACATTACACTACATTACATTACTTTCTGTATATTAACCCCCTTTGTACTTAAACTACGATATGTCCGATATAATATTGCAACATTGTGAGTATACATTTTTCTTTGTAAATTTAAACCGTTATATAATTTATGATTATAATTTCAAACACTGTATTTATATTGTTGTAAATAGGGAGATGAATTTATATAAGCACGGCTTGTTTTCAGATCCCAGATTTATACATATTATATTTACATTATGTAAATATTTATTGAATAAATAGTGTTAGAAAAAAAAAATGGGTATTTTTGACTCATGAGTATTAAGTTATCTTTCAAATATATTTCATCTTCAGTGAGTGTTTTTTTGTTTTGTTAATTATTATTACTGTATAATAAAGTTATAAACATTAATATCAGATCAGTATATTTTTCATTTCCATGCATTTATACTGATTTAGGTTAGGATAATAATACACTGAATGTGACAGAACATAGAAGTAGTAAAAGGTTTTAAAAATCTTTTTTAAATTTAACACCAACCTCAAAGTGAATTTATTCATCATTGTCTTTATTGGCATTTCCTTCATTCACTGTACTTTTTAAAGTTTGATCGAACTGTTGATGATTCAACACCGAACCTGTCAGATCTGAGATCAATCAATGATTTTTCTCAAAAATAGTCAGAAAGATCCGCCCTCTCTAGTCTCTACACCCGTCTAAAACATATTTTTACACAAAAACAAATGAGCGTATTTTTGAATAATTAATCCAATTAAAAAAAATACGTACATCATTAAAGTTCACATAAAGGAAGCAATATTCACAATGACTGTATTATCATCACCTCACTGTACTCATTCATTCGTTCTGTCATTCGTCTGCATTGGAAAATAAAATTATTCCAGGACAGGATTTCCGAAAATTGCGTACGGGGAAAAGAAGTGGTAAACGAAACAATAAAAATTTCTGATATTTTAACATGGTAAGATTTTCTTTTTTAAAAAATCGGAGCATGCAATCGAAAACCCTGTCATCATTTATCATGTTTAAAATCATATTTTTTTAAAATTCAAATTCCAAAACATTACATCCAGTTTCGTTTCATTATAACTTTCAAAATGTTGCATTCCATAGTGTGTATTCATGGTGTATCCATCATGCTAAATTTCCGTTTCCGGTGTCATGGCAGAAAATTTACCCGACGGTTGGGAAAAGCGTGTTAGTCGGTCCTCCGGTAAATTTACCTTTGAAGTCATTGTTTTTAAAAAGGGAAATCTGCACCATTTCAACCGATGTCTTTTAGAAAATTAATCGTATAACTCTGAATGATTGTGAGCAATAAAACACGAACTGATGATTGTGAGCAATAATAATAAGCACGAACAGCATTGATTACAGATTAGGCCTATTTCTGACTTTTCAGGCCAATCATCAGCCCTGGGCTTATAAACTTATTTAATATGTAACAGGCATTGCCTGAGTAGAGCGAAGCTGATTATTGTCAAATATAAAACCTTCATAATTAAGTTTCTCAAGTGATACAAGTAATTTAAATAATCTCGTTTTTCCGAATTGAATTTAATTTAGATCTGAATTATATGATTAATTTTGTAAAAAAAAAAAAAAGAACAAAAAAGTGTGAGAATTATTTTCATTGACGTCAGAAATATGTGACGTCATTGATTAAACGCGTCTTAAAAATATTTCTATGAGTCGCATAATCTCGCTTGGGCGAGATTTGGTAAGTTTAAAGTTGGCATGCGCATTGCTATTTTTGCCCAGTGTATCCGGTTCCGGTCTGAATTTTTTTTAAATCAACAGTCTGTGGGGCAGATTTAGTTAGGCTCCTGTGTTACCGGAAAAGAGCTTTGCTCAAGCACCGCGCTTCGCTCTATATTAAAGGGGAACCGCCACTTTTGACTTTTTGTCAGTTTGTATTCATTATTTTGTGTCATAAATTCTGCGCTAACTCAGAGAAATACGCTATACTTCTTATTCTTCCTTTAAAGACTCAGGTTCCAATTGGAACGTAGTTGAATCTGGATGAGATGTGCAGGTGCAATCGATAAAAATCGATAAAAAGTAGTCGGTGCGGATAAAAGCTGGCTGTCGTTTAAAACTGGAAGTCACCCAGCCCGCGCTTAAACTGGGTCAAGGTGACTGCTGCTGTTAAGTGATGTGGTAGTTGGTTCCATAGGTTCACCGTCCTGGGGAAGAAGGAAGTCTGGTGTTGAGTCGAGAGGCATCTAGGTTGGTGTAGTTTGCTGCTGCCTCTTGTACGACTATCGCCTTCCGAGATGTATTCTCGACTGATGCAGTGAGCTGGTTCCGGATCCGGTACATCATGGTCACTGATGCCTTTTGTCTACGAGCTTCTAGGGATTCCCACTCTAGGTCTGCCAGGAGGCGTGTGACGACTCCTGGGGTCCTGTCCCGGTACTCGTGTTTGACAAATCTGGCCGCGCTTCGTTGCACCTTCTCTAAGGTGTTAATGTCTTTTTGATGGTTTGGAGCCCATGCTGTTGAGGAGTACTTGAGTACTGGGCGTACGAGGGTGGTGTACATTGCCTCCTTTACATGTGGGGTGCATTGCCGGAAGTTCCTCTTTATGAAGCCAAGAGTTCTGTTGGCTTTGGCCGCGGTTGACTCAACATGCCTTGTCCATGTTAGATCTTCTGTGATGGTTACCCTGAGGTACTTGCTCGCTACTTCGACATCTAGGGTGTGGTGGTGTAGAGCATATGGGAAGATGATCTTCTTTCTCCTCTTAGTTGGTGCTATGCGTATAACCAGGCACTTGGTAGCACATCTGCTTGATCGGAGGTAGTGCCTCCTATAACAACTCACTGTTGGTGGTTCGTCAGGAATGACTTGATCCATTGTTTGGTTGCACCGCGGATGCCATAGTGGTCGATCTTTTGTAGTAGCCGTTGATGTGGTACCTTATCAAAAGCCTTGGCAAAGTTGAGAAGGATGACGTCTACCTGGTTACCCTTGGCCATCTTACTGGCTATCTCCTGGATGGTGACGATGAGCTGTGTCTCGCAAGACCTTTTCTTCCTGAATCCATAAATCTATAATGTTAGGCATGTTAGATGAAAAAATATCCAAATCATTGAACTTGACTTGACAACTTATTTTATTTAAAATGACTTACAAAACATGACGAATGTACATGTGTTTGTCTTATCGATTTCTAGTTTTCGTGGTTATTTGTGTCTTGCAATTCTTCCACACTATAGTATTAGATCTCTGCAATTAATAATATTTTCTTGATTTAATATGATATTTTCTTGATTTAATTAATATTTTTTTTATGAATCTTTCCACTAGGAAGAGATTATTACCTCAATCTTCATACAAAGGAAAGTCAGTGGGACATACCCACAGAGCCAGCTAGCAATAAAATGTCTCAAGTACAGTGTTCCCATCTTCTTGTTAAACATAATAAATCACGAAGACCAGCTAATTATAAAGGCGAAAATATAACAAGAAGTAAAGAAGAAGCATTAGACTTATTGAAAGGTTTGGAATTTTGATTAAGTTAAATTTTCATCTGTCTACTCAAACACTTAGCAAAAAAAATTTTCAGCTATACATATTGACTTCTTCGCTGAAGAATGGGTGCTGATAAGTGATCAAGTAATTATGAAATTCACTCTTTTACATTCCAAAAGTATTTGTAATTTGATTGTTTAATAACAAAAACATTTTAATTCATATAACTTTTAATTCTGAAAAAATATATAATTTAATTGATTAGGTACTTTTGAATATTTTAAAGTAAGGTCCCTCATATCTGACTAAAGTAGAGAAAAAACAGTTTCATTTAAATTTTGAAATATGACCGGATGAGATTAAAGGGCCAAATTACTCTGAAATTGCTCCCAGTAAGTGCTTCAAAGGAATGAGAAAAACAGCAAGGAGATAGATAGCTGGGATCCCAAATTTGTGACACAGGTCTGAATTAAATCAATACTTCACCAAGTGGAATCTAAATCATGTAGTACTAGTAGATGTACATGTATGTCTGCTAATTTAATTCTAAAGATTATAATTTCTTGGAATTTTCCACTTTCAGGTTATCGACGCCAAATTGATGATGGTGCAAATTTCAGTGAATTAGCTACTCAATTCAGTGATTGTTCTTCTGGGAAACGTGGTGGAGACCTTGGACTATTTGGAAGGGGACAAATGCAAAAACCATTTGAAGATGCATCGTTTGCTTTAGAAGTTGGCCAACTTAGCGATATTGTTGATACTGATTCAGGAGTTCACATTATATTAAGAACTGCTTAATTTTTTAAGAAAATATAATCTTCGAGTTACCTTGAAGGATGAAAATTAATGGTAGCTCTTAAATACTGATTACACTGTAAGATAAGATCTGTAAATTTATTTTGTTGGACACTTTTTAATAGGTAAAAAAAAAATCAATAAATTGTAGGAACAAAGTTCCCAGGTAACAAATACTGGTGTGTACCATCTACAATAGATTCAGTAATGTAGTAACAACTGTAGTTTCAATATAACCATCAGGATTGTACACATCAATAAGAAGTTCTTTTGTTTTTCTACAACCATTACATAAATATATGGATTTTTTTTATCAGAAGTACATAATCCTAAGATCATCATATTTGCACAGTTTTTTCTTTGTTATTCAAGATCATAATGAAAATTTTGTGGATGCTCATGCAATTACATGTACATGTGCTCACTTTTTGATTTTGCTTTGTACCATGTTTAAAATTTTCATACAAATGCTCTCAATATTTTTACATCTTTTCTATTTATGATTCATTTGATGATTTATTGTGTCACAAAGTGTGTGCTTTTTGTAATTTAGAACCAGACGCAGACCATCATTTACAAATCGTGTCATATCATAATCATATGCATGTAATGCTTTATAATTTTAGATCAGTTCAACTTATTTGTTATAAATGACTACTTTGTGTCATCGCTCGTTTATAATACATATAATTTTATGTCTATTAAACCAATATAAAAAATATGTGTATCTGGATTTTTTTCTTTTGATTAAGACCTACTTTGAGCCAAGAATAATATTCAGTCGCCAAGGCCGATTCATGGGACCGGATTAACTGTGAGGTAGTAGAAGAACAAACCCAACAAGATTTGTGAAAGTTTTGTCTCGTCTAAACTATGGTTATGAATTATGAATCAAGCCCCTTCACATCAAAATTGACTGAGGGTTTTTTTTTTCTTTTTAAATAGGCCTTTGTGTTCACCTTGAAATTTGTATGTGTAGCCAATTCTATACATGTACATAAACATAGCCCAGTAATTTTTTGAAGATATTTAATGTTGCCATAGGAAAGGGTGTTTGATATTGGTAAAGAAAGTGTGGGTTGGGTGGCCGAATCGTGTATGCCCGTCTTCAATCAGGGGCCATAATCCAGGAAGTTATGGGCTGAGATATTTGGGGTATAGAGATATATTTTAAGTTTCATCAAAATCGCATAAAATTGGTGACTTCTAGAGTATTATATACTTTTATACTATTTGCGTACAAGGAGCATGCAGTTTCGATCCGATTTTTGAACTCAACCGTTATTAGGGTGTAACGGTGAACAGTCCATATGCTGATTACACTATTTTGCTTATACCGTTTTTTAGGACTTCAAATTTTGTCTAATGGTTTGGATTGTTCGTACTTGGTTTTATTTTATTTAAACACCTTTTTAAAATCGGATAAAATTGTGATCTCTAGAGGGTCCACAAGCTAAAAACGAACCGAAATGCACAAATATTGAAAATAATCCGAGATCTTTGGATTATAATCATACATTTCAAGTTTCATCAAAATCGGATAAAAATTGTGACTTCTAGGGTGTCCACAACCTTGGTATTACAAACTTTTACACTATTTGCGTACACGGAGCAGCCATTTTGTCCGGCAGTTTGTGTCCGAATTTTACGAAATTCGAAGTCAACCTTCATTGATGTGTAACGGTGATATATTTAAACGATTTTTAAAATTGAATACAAATTGTGACTTCTAGCTGGTCCACGAGCATGAATTGGGATTTTTCAAATAATCAGGGGCCATAATCCATGAAGTTATGTTGGGATATTGGCGATTATCGAAAGGAACCAAAATCTTTGTGATATAAACATAAATTTAAAGTTTCATCAAAATTGTCGCCTCAAGAGGGTCCACAACCTTGATATACCATATATAAATTTACACTATTTGCGTACGAGGGCCGGCCATATTGTCTGGAAGTTTTGTTTGGTCCGTTTTTCAACGAAATTCGAGCTTAACCTTCATTAGGATGTAAGGGTGATATATTCCAACGTTTTTTTTTTAAAATCGGATCAAAATTTTAACCTCTAGAATGACCACAAGCTAAAAATGCGATTTTTCATACAATATCATGGGTCATAATTCAGGAATTTACGGTCGGATATTTTTTAATATCGAAATGTACCAAGATCTTTGGGTTATAAACATGTATTTCAAGTTCCATCAAAATCGGATCAAAATTGTTACCTCTAGAGGGTCCACAACCTTGATATTTTTACACTATTCGCGTACGAGGAGTGGCCATTTTGTTCGGCAGTTTTTCACGAAATTCGAACTCAACCATCATTACAGTGTAACGGTGATATATTCGAACGGTATTTTTAAAGGAACTAAATCGCTAAAATTTGAGACCTAGAAATTGACACAAATGGGTTCCAACGCATATAATAATGTAATATGAATGTATATAAACTAATTTACATTCAATCATTTCCGTATTTTACTCTAATTTCAAAACAGTCATGTTTGGCGAAATACGGCACAAATCTCAATCGAATGACAATCTCTAGCATCTGGTTATTCCAGTCAACATAGTAATTATTGCGCATGATCTCCAGATAAGAATAGCGTTACCGTTTGACATGACTTGTGGAACATGTCTAGTCTCATTCTTCGAGTCTCTTGTTACAAATTGTGCCAGGATGAGTAAAATACTAATACCTAGTACGTATGGAAGAGGCGATACTCTGCGATTGCAGGAACAATGTTTTTTTTTCAAAAACGCATATCTTGTGGACCAGAAAACGTTTTATGCCCAAAAATCAATTTCTTGTAACCGCAGTTTATCGCCTCTTCCACGGGAACAGTGACCACTAATCTAGCCTTGTTGGGGTGTGGCATTTTTGGTGCGTGTCTATTAGGGGTTACCCATCGCACAAACTGTCTGGCAGTGGACATTCATGATTCCTGTAGTGGTACTGAACAACTCCAAAGCTGTTTTAGGTGGTACAGATTTCAGCTAATCTAGCCTAGCTGTGGTCTGGAAATTAGAAAACTCTTGTCAGGGATACTCCACCACTACAAATGTCTGGCAATTACATAGCTCTGCCAGGGGTAGGCCTACCCTACCACTAGAAATGTCTGTCAGAGTGTTTCGGTAACACCTGAAGATGTACGGTACACTGCTGTACAATTTTCATGTGGTACACTTTTGAGCTAATCTAGCCTAGTTGGGGGAGGGGGACTTGGCATTTTGGGTGTGAAATACCACACCCATCACCAGAAACACGGCAGACTTACATTCTGATGATACCAGATATACATGCATTGATACCATATAGGAGAAAATTGGTACACTTTTCAGCCAGGTTGACCCCCTGGGCTCCCGCTCTATCATTTGCAGTTACTGTCCCTTAATCTGTAGTACCCAATTGTGACTTCTAATGAAGCTGTGTATATTAATTCAAAACTAGAATACTAAATCCTTGATTAATTAACCCCTGTGTTAGCAATTTTCCTTGGATGTATGTGTGTGAAATAGCTTTATTTAACGTCCACTTCCACCGAGGTGATATCGCAGACATGGAGGTTAATCTCTCTTTATAATAAACCTTGAGGTTTATGGCGTCTTTACGCAATAGCCCAATATGAGCTTAATAGCCCAATATCGGATTACTATTATAGCTTAGGCCTACAGGTTATGCTGTAAAAAGTAAATATCAGCCTTTCTTTTTGGTCAACTTTTTTTCCCTTTAAGAGTCATGCTGCAACCCTCCCCTAAGGCATATCTATATTATTTGCAAAAAATACTAGGTCAACCACCCCTGGGACCTGGTTTAAAAATTCTTAATCGTACCCATCAAGCAAGCCCTGCTGCTTAGCCATCATTACTTAAGATTATTGACAATGACACTTTTGCATAATTTATATCAAAGTGAGGTCATCATGATCAAGGCCAGGGGATTCTTACTATGGCTACAGCTCATCTAATTACAAAAATTTGTATCCATGTCCAACACTAATGAATGCAGTAACTGTTATGTGATATGTTTCAATGAATAGGAGTTTAATGTACGGGTACTATTTTTCTGGACTAATAAAGACAGGCATTGTTACTCTTATTTCGGATTCGAAGTGTACACCCAAACAACTAGACAATTCCTTCCCATTCCTATCGTCCTTTACCACTGACAAGATGAACTATGCTAAATGCTGAGGTACTTACTTGGCCAACTCCAGGCCCTTCAGGTTAGTGTACCAGTGCCTAGCTGATCCTTGAGCCCTTGTGCCTACTGGGTCTTAGTGATTCATGCCATTAGGTGTTTCTAGTTGTCATATATCAAGGATGTGGATTGTTTCAGTTAATTACTATTGTAATTCAGATAGGACATTGGAGAAAAGTCATACAATCTATTTCCACCACAGTAACCTTTGCTTCAAAACAAATCAGTTGTGATTGCTGTTTCTGTACTTGGCTGTTGATGTCAAGTGCAATTAATGCCAGAAAGAAAATACAAGTGCTAATTTTCTTTGATTTAAAGGAGCTTATTCTCTATTCTTTGGAACCTAGAAATGAATACCAATGGGTCGCAACGTATATAATAATAGAATATAAATGTGTATAAACTAATTTACATTCCATCTTTCTGCTTTTACTGTAATTTCTAGTCAGTTAGGTTCCACGAAATACGCCAGAGTCCAAACTGAATGGCAGTCTTTGGCATCTGGTTATTCCAGTCTACAAAGGCAGTATTCTACTCTGGGATGTTTAGCCTCGTTCAATAAGTCACTTCATTACAAATGGCATTCGAAAGCATTTTGGCACGCGATTCGGGAGCCAATTTTAAAATTTCCATATTGGATATTAGAAGCCTATCTTTTCACGGTAAGATAACATCAATGTTGCTTTAAATTGACCAATAAGTCTGTTTGCAATGTCAAAGAGTGTGGATGATACAGAGTTAAGACTTGCCTCCTTTAAATCAAATTACAGTATTGAACTGGGTTGATCAGATGAGTTTGGTGAATTAAAAAAACCGAAGATTAAATTTATGTTTGAAATATTAAGTGGAAGTTATCTTGTTCACTAATTTTAGTTTCATTTTTGGCATAAACCATCAACAGTAAGTATGTAATAATACAGCTGTATTTTTTTTATTCAGTAAAGTTCTTTTTACATATTCAGTAAATACAGTTATCAGTTGATTCTTATCTTTAAATGTACAACAAAACACAAATTAGTTCCCTTTAATCTTATACTGGCCCTAGTGGTGCGGGATATTGTGACTAGAGTCATTATACGATACATATCACAATACATGTGGTGTGGTGTGATACGATTTGAATCTAGATACATATTCAGATGACAAATTTAACCAGAACACCGAACCCTAGATACTAAATACATTACTGATGGTATTTTAATTGAAAAGGCCCTTCAGATTACGACTTTATTCCTACAGGCCTAACTAATAGTTAATGGACTGTAACATGAAAACTTAAAGCTATTGCCACTTTAAACTTGATAAAGGTGTTGAAGTTTATTAAATTTCAATGATTAAGATTTATTACTTTCCTGGACACAGATAACATTAACTAGATATACTTTGTAATAAAATCTTTACTTCAAGGTGTTTGATTGCAATTAATACGATCTGGTTTTTCATCCAACAAAATCTTTAGATGCCTGTTCTAAATGGCAATGGAGTACTCAGTAAACTTTGCATAATTGAACTGCTGAAAAACCCTGATTCGACTTCAGTCCAATCAAACACCCTACATTTAAGGGTTTATTCCAATCCTAGAATTTTTAGATCACACAATGCGATATTTACAAAGCACAATCGGAGACAAAAATCGAAGTTAAATTACAATAAATACACAATAAAAGACCTAAAATTTAACCATTCCAAATTTTTCTTATAGATTCATAATACTTTCATTTTGAAAACTGATGTCTATGTTGACAACTTTTAGAGGTAAATTTTAAAGTCTTTTACTTGTGTAAATAATTAATAAACATAATACAGATTTAGAACTAAGTATTGTCAGCTTCATCTTTTACTATTAGTGTGACTAGTTCCCCTCATCGGCATCTTAAAGTTAGCCGCTGCTTGATACTGTAATTGGTAAGCCAGTGGGTGAATTTTGAAACCATATAGCCTGAAAAAATTACAAATATACATTATAAATCTCATGACCACCAACGTCTCTTTTTAAATTCTCTCAATGTCTATCACAACCCTCAATGTCTCTCTCACTTCTCTGAACGTCTATCTCACTTCCCCTGAATGTCTCTCTTACAACCCTCAATGTAAGTCTCCCACCAACATCTCTTATAGTAAATAGAGAGAAATGTGGTTAACAAGTCCTCACCACAAACCAGGTCATTTCGGGACTAACATACAGTACATCTTTATTTCAGTTATTATTTGCTTGCAACGCAGGGGTTCTTAGCAGCAGGCAGAAACCCACCCAAATCCCCAGACAGTAAATTGATTAGAGTACAGCACAGCTTACCTTGGAACAAACTGATTGGCAGGTCTCTTTGGCCTGTATTCCGGATGAACCATAAATAGCATGTGTGGAAAACCAGTGCCAAAATAAGCGCCGTCTGTATGGTGATGGCGTGAAGATTTAGGTGTGTAAACATCTTGACATTTAGGACAGTATAATTTAACCATAGCTTCACCAGGAACATCAGATAACCCTACAAACAATGAAATATGTAAATAAAGGAGACCTTGGCTTGCCTTAAGAAACTATAATATAAGGAGAGCAAAGGATTACCCTTTCAGACACAACATTTTTACAGGCATATTAAACATTATTGCCTTAATCTCCATGCACCCCAAACACAATGACTCTGACATTAAATAATCACAAGAGTTTCCTCCCTTTGACTATAATGGTTAGAATTGTCGGCTTTGCGATTCAGGTACACATAAGAAACACGGATGAAAATATCAGCTTAATAGGGAAAAGGGCATAACATTCTCGATGGTGATGACTGAGAAATAAGTAGTGTATGATATTTACCTATAGGTAACATGGGTTGATTTTCACAATAAACACGGGGACAATAACCGAAATCACCTTGTTGCCATTTCTCGATCTATAAAAATAAACATACAATACAATATTATTTTAGTTCTATTCTAGACATCTTACTGTTTATTTTGAAGAAAATTTACCAATTTCTAATGAAGGGTTGATCAGAAATATTAACTTTTATTCCCTCTTACGGTATTTGTAAACACATTTACAATGCAATATACAATGAGACTTTGGGGTGTGTTTGATAGGACTGGCGTCCATTGTTTAAATTCAAGCTATTTGGTGTTAAAATATTGATATTCATTATCTAGGAGTTAAACGCAAGTCAATCAGTAGGGATCTGCATTAATAATGGAATGTTTTTTTGCGAACAGCGATCATCATTAAAATGTTTACTGTAAACAAAACAATGTGGTTCTACTCGCACTCTCCCTTTAATTTGATTTTTGTTACATTTTTAAAATGTATTTGATATCATTTTTGCATTTGATTTCAAATCCATCTTGATTGAGGATTACACAGAAAGTTCATGATTTATACATTATACATTACTTGTTCCTTATGGGTTGATTTCTGAATCAGAGATGTCATTTTGATGTTCAGTTTGGCATATCAGACTTTTGCCAATTCAGACAGACTTAACGTACGAAACAGAATCAGTGTATCAACCATCGATATTTAAATTCATAAGCATGGATATCATGTTGGCCAATATTTGGTGTTAGTATATCCTGAACTTGATATAGGGAGAGGGGTTTTACATAGGCTAAGCCTGTTCCCCAATCCCATTCAGACAATCTGAATAAAAATATTGTTTATAAAAAAAAAAAATTGATATGTACAGGAATTATCTGCATCTGCCCATCTAATGAAATCTCATAGGATATAAGATAGAAACTACAAGTACCATTTGTGCAATGCCTCTGTTAGTCATGATATATCTAGCATGTATCAACCCGTATAACATCTCTGCAGCTTGTTCTATTAAATCTGATTGGTTAGGATTATCATCTAAATCATCATCTAGAAAAAAATACACTTTCAATATTATCACTGGGAGAAAGATTCTAAACCAATTAATTAATTACACCTACATACTTTGACATGGGTCATACAACTAGATTTCTTACTGGTACAATAAATTATGTTGTCACCATCAAGGAAAACAACTTTCAATAAGACTAGTCAGACTACCTCTATTGTTTCAATAATAAGGTTTTCTGCCTTTGTGACAGTACCAAAGATAGGTACCGAGCTTTAAGATCTTACTCACGCACTCTTGCTTAAAAAATACAACAGTTCAAAAATTGAAATCAATATACATGTAGTGGGAAGTAGTCATCCCAGATTTTTCTCATAAAGCTACTACAGTAAACTTCCCATAAGTCAGATCTAAGTGAATTGACCAATTTCATCTGAGTTAAGCGAAGATCCGAGTTAGCCGAAGTCCTAGTTCAGCCGAAGACCTAGTTCGGCTTAGAACGTAGGTCTCATTATCGCCCTGTACGTTCGGGAACCGTCCTATTGAATCCTTGTCGAAATAAAATAGGTTCCCAGTCAATTTTACTGGGCAACTTTTTACTGCTTTAGTCATGTGTCAGTCTCTGTGAACGCTTGAACAATGTAAAGGAACATTTCAGTGAGAAAATAAGGCCTTGCTTACCTCGCTAGAGTCAGTATGTGCAGCAAAACATGCTGTTAAAAATGCGTCCCCTTCGGCTTTGGTGGACGCCGTTCATTGAGGTCTAGATGTGGGGCGGTGCACGGATTTACGTGGCTCGGCCATTTAAGACGAAATGAAATTTAGGTAAGCTGGGGTGGGGAAAAATTAGAATCTTTGAAAAGCTGAGAAACTTCAGTCAATTATTGCTTTGCCTAGCTCAATTACAGTAAAACTTATATGGCCGAGTTGTGCAAATTTATGCGTTGCCCTGTATTTGGATTTCAATGGCGTTTGGTGGAGGGGGACCTATTTTTTAACAGCATGTTGTGAACATACTGCTGATCCGACTTGGGCGAAGAAAAAAAAGCCGGAATTAGATCAAATGGACCAAACATTTTGATCTGAGTTGAGCAAAGATCCGACTTACGCGCAGAAATTTAATAAGAAAAAAGTGCAGGATCAAAGGGTCCAAACAATTTTATACGAGTTGAGCGAAGATCCTACTTATATGGATCCGACTTATGCAAGGTTTACTGTAGTTTTGTTCTTTTGTGAACTCTTCAGACTTAAGTGCGCCTGTTCCCTTTAATCGTTGGTGATGTCAACGGTGGACGGGAGTTATTCTGTTTCACCGGAGTGGCTGCTACAGGAAAGTGTGAACAGAAACCGCCTCGAGACATGCTGTTATAAAATTGCTTATTTGCATGGACCCTAAAACCCAACCTATATGACTATCTCATTTAAAATAAATAAACTATTTATTTGGATATTTGGATAACCAGACTAGAAATGCTGAACTGATCAAATGATTAATCCTAACATATATTATGGCCATTTGACATCTACATTAGTTTCTGTTGATTTTGTAATGCCATCTTTAGGAGTCCACAGTTCATGAAATAATAAACAATGAAATCTATTGTGTATATGCCAGATTATTATTGCAGTGAGATTTCCTTAAAGATGCATTATGTAAAAGCTGAATCTGCTAAGGCAGATCTTTCATTTGGCCTCAAATGGTATATAAATTATTAATTAGACATTTATTCACATGCCAAGCCCATAATCAACTCTCTAGACCATCAGGATTTAAACATAATTGGCTTTTAATAATTTAATTAAACCTGTGGTTGCCAGGCAAGATACGCTCACATTTTGCAAGAGATGGACAGAGAACAAGCTAAAAAAAAGCGATTTTTCGTACATCAGGGGCCATAATCCAGGAAGTCATGGTCTGATATGCTCAAATATCAACAGGATCAAAGATCTTTGGTTTATAAACATACCTTTCAAGATCCATCAAAATCGGATAAAAATAGTGACCTCTAGAAACTTTTACACTATTTCTGCACAAAGGGCGGCCATTTTGTCTGGCAGTTTTGGTCCGATTTTAACGAAACTCTGACTCAAACAATATTATGGTGTAACGGTGATATATTAGAACATTTTCTTAAATCAGATAAAAATCGTGACATTTGTAGGGACCACAAGGTAAAAACGTAATTTTTCATACAATCAGGGGCTATAATTCAGGAAGATACCATCTGATATGCACGAATATTAAAAGGAACCAAGATCTTTGGGTTATAAACATGTAGTTCAAGTTTCATCAAAATCGGATAAAAATTGTGACCTCTAGAGTATCCACAAGCTAGAAACATTATTTTTCGTAGAATCGGGGGTCATAATCCATGAAGTTGCGGTCCGATGCATGCCAATTTTGAAAGGAACCGAGGCGACGACAATATACATCCACATGAAAATGTGGGCATATAAAAATGGATAATCAAGACTTTATTTATTAATATTATCGTAACAATGGTAGCAATGACAATCAAGACTACACTGTTCATCAAACGGCAGTAACTCCGCTCTATTTTTTAACTATTTTCAGCTCCTTATCTAAATCTTATATAAGGCATCTTTAATCAGAATTGTATATTATAAATCATAAATGGCTGTACATTTTCTTTAATGATATAATTTAAGGACCACCAATGTACATTACCTGGTTCAAGGTCTAATATCATATCTAACGCCTGTCTGTAATGAGGTACTTGTTCATTTAATCCAGTTAGATTAAATTTATCCTGTATATAATCTTCATCAACCTGAAATAAACATCATGAAATAAAATCATTTTAACATTCAATAAGTTACTGTAGATTATCATGAAATTAACAAAAATACATTCTTACGGAAGATGAGACACCACAAATGACTGAAACAATTACAGAAAGGTGACAACAAGAATATGTGCCATGTGAAATACATCAACATATATGAAACTTATATATTTCCCAGAAACATTCAACATCAGCTTCTGTTTTTGTAACACTCAATAAACTTTATTTGCCCGGACTTACAGAACTGTATTTTCTACATGGATAGATTCATGGGTGACAAAACTTTTGCAATTTTGATTTGATTTTGGATTTTGTTTAAATAGCAACCATTTTCCTTATCGCTTCAAGTCTTCATCTTCAATATGCACAGTGACGAAACTATTCTCAAAAAAGTAAGGGGGTTGGATGGCCGAATGGTTAGCACGCACGTGCTGTATCATAAGGCCTGTTACTGAGTCAACTGGCGTGGTTTCGATTTCCCGGTTGTACCTGGCAAGTAGTAGAGAGAGAGAGAGAGAGAGAGAGAGAGAGAGAGAGGGTTTAACGTCCACTCGACACAAACTAGGTCATTTCGGGACTAACATACAGTTTAATTTTATTTCAATAATTCGCTTGCGCGTAGGGGTCTTTGGCAGTGAAAGGAAACCGGAGGACCCGGAGAAAACCCACGAGGTTGGACAGGCGACCCTACTCCTTGCCACGTACAACCGGGGATTCGAAACCACGCCAGTTGACTCAATGACAGACTTTATGATACAGCGCGCGCACGCTAACCATTCAGCCATCCAACCCCCCAGAGAGAGAGAGAGTTTAACTTCCACTCATACAAACTAGGTCATTTCGGGACTAACATATATATGGTTTAATTTTATTTCAATAATTCTCTTGCGCCTAAGGGTCTTTAGCAGTGGGAGGAAACCGGAGGACCCGGAGAAAACTCACGCTAGCAAAATATTTAAATAAAAATTGAACCATATGTTAGTCAGGAAATGCCCTTGTTTGTGAATGAACAAGCAAACCGTGAGGCTGATGTCCCCCCGCCGAAATCCCCAAATAAATAGATGACACATATTAATTAATCGCACATCTATTTTTTTCAAAAGTATCGAGCAATCAAACTGATAATCAACTATACACTAAGTTTCATCACTCTCTATCAGATAGAATCAAAGTTATCTTGTCCCAAAGCATCGACTAAGGAAATTGCTTATCTCTGCTTAGCTTTATCTCAGTATATGTTAATCATTGAACTCAGTCAAGGCGAACATCTACATCAAGTTTAAACATTCTACCTCAATTAGAAGCAGAGTTGTTATGTTCCAAAGTCTTGACCAATCAAAATGCTTATTGCTCCTTAGCCTAAGCAGACAATTCTCATCATCGAACTTAGTCAAGGTATTGTTGTGACCAAGTTTCATCACTCTCACTTAATTAGAACTAAAGTTATGTGTCCCAAAGAATCAACCAATCAAATTGCTTCTCTACTTACCATAAGCAGCAAATGAACTCCATCAAGGCATTGACCTAATAAACACCTACACCAAGTTCTAACATTCTAGGTCAATTAGAAGGAGAGTTATTGTGTCCCAAAAAGTGTGACGGACAGACAGACGGGTGACAATGAATGAAATGTTGTTTAATGGCACATCAGCTCCAACCGGACTATATTGCGGCAAACATATGGTGAGTTTAACAAGACAAATTAAAACAATATCACAGAGATGTACTTATATATGTAAATAAAAACAATCAATTATCACAGAAAATATAATTAAAAATAATACATCAAATCTTTTACTTATATAAATATCTAAAAGTAAAAAGGAATATAAGATAAATTATACAATTAAAATTTTGAATAAAGGTTTGTCACTTTACAATATAGACCTAGTTTGTGTCAAGTGGACTTAAACCCCATTTTTCTCTCTCTCTTTCTTTCTCTCTCTCTCTTAAAACAAGAAGGAAGCTTACACATGCTCCATCACTTATAAGACAGATGGCTCATTCAACTCGTTGATGCAAACAAAAATTCTTGAATCTCAAGAACTCATTAACACCCAGATCGAAGTTCCTTCAGAATGCCCTTAAGTGAAAACCCCCCAAAAATAGCATTTGTACCTCACAGAAAAACTCATTTCCTCTTAGTCCACAAAACCAGGATATCCATGACACTTCTTCGGAACTACTCATTTTCTTATTTTATTCTGGAAATAAAAAGAATTGTACAAATTGACAGCCTTAAGATTACACAACTAGGCCTACTTTCGAAAACCTACATTAAATTTTCAAAGGGAGAGTCGTTTTTTCAAACCTTCGACAGTTTGTAAATTTTTTGACAATTTTCACAAGGATTGCCCTCTTAACTTACATAATACATCAATGGAAAGGCACATTATTCACCTTTTGAAAGATCCATCCAAGACTGTCTAAAACTAGTATGTTCGAAGTTGCGTACAAAACAATACCCCCCCCCCCCACCATCACTGATATCGCAGAAAAAATTATAAATATGTATAAATGTATCATGTGTCCATCTATTGTTTTGTAGTATACATTTTTGATAAATCTTTGGAAAATAGAAGATACATGTTTGTCATGATAAGGTAAAGGATTTAGCTTTTGAACTCAGTGATGGAATCTGTGTGAAAATTATCAAAAACCTCTGAACCATGGCCAGTTTGGAATGTACAAAAAAACATGTCCTTATTTTTCTGATTCTCCCCTGGGCCCTGGCCATGAACCATTTGAATAGTTCAGCTCTGAACGTAGTCCTCATTACACTCGCCATGTACGTTCAAGAACCGCCCTAAATTTTGTTAAGTCATATTACTCATATATGGCCAAGTTACGTAAATTTGTGCGTTACCGTATGTTTAGATTTCAATGGCTTCTGCCAAGCCGTTTAGCAGAAGGAGACGTATTTCTAACAGCATGTTGTGTCGCACATACTGACACTAACAAGGTAAGCAAGGTCTTATTTTCTCACTAAAATCTTCCTTTAAATTGTACAGGCGTTCACAAAGACTGACACACAACTGTACAGCTGTAAAAAGTTGCCCAGTAAAATTGACTGGGGGCTTATACATTTTTTTTTTCAACAAGGATTCAATAGGGTGGTTCCTGTGTGTACAGGGCAAGAGTAATGAGATCTACATTCAGAGTTGAACTGAATAGCCATCCATGGCATGGGAAATAAAAAATTTAAGACTAATCTCATCTGCGTTTATAACATATAATAATATTTTTATTCAATGCAGCATTCTTGCACCAATGGTAAGGGGTGGTGGACAAGTAAAAATCTATGTACACAAGTTTAAAGTGGGTCGGAACTCATATAATACTGTAATATGAATGTATATAAACTGATATACATTCAATGGTTTCCGTTTTTACTCTAATTTCAAATCAGTTATGTTCCGCGAAATAAGCCCGCAGTCTCAATCGAATGCAAATTTGTAGCGCCTGGTTATTCCAGTCTACATACGCCGTTTGGTTTGGTGCAATACATTGTATGTCTAGCCTTGTTCCTCGAGTCTCTTGCTAGAACTGGGGCTGAAACGCATTATGGTACACGATTCGTGTACCAAAGGTAAAATGTTTATTTTGTCTTAAATATTGGATATCAGAAGCCCATCTTTTTCCGGTAAGATCACAGCATCAATGTTGATTTAAATTGACAAATAATTTGTGTTTTCAATGTTGAAGATTTTGGATGATATTGAGATAGAGACTTAGCTACTTTAAGTTACAACATCTTATCATATTCAAAGTACATGTGTAAGTCAAAATTATCCAATGACAATAATATCATATTTCATTTATTTTCATACCTTAGCCCGCCATCATCAAACACAAATAAAATATATGGGTGTTTTTTTGTTGTTTTTTTTTTGGGGGGGGGGGGGGCTTAGCTCATTTTGATCTGGAAAGTGGGTCCCAACTTATTCCCCGCATTCTTGATGAGGGTCCACTCTGACTCTTGAGTCTGATCCCCAGGCCTAGATTCTCAATTTCAGACTTAGAGATTTCAGATACAAAACATTTTTTCTTCAGTTTTCTTTCAAGCAAAATTATTAAAATAATACAATACATTTTCTTTAACTCAGTAATATGGTACTCGTTATTACACAATAGCTTTGGGGAATAAGTTCATACTAAAATAAAGCAACATTATCAAGATTACCTAAATAACATGTAAATCTTCGACAATAATGGCCATCTATGCTATTAATGCGCATGCGCAGGAAGTCAAAGTTATTTTTGTACAAATAAATATTGACTCTTTTCTCTTCGTCTTAGTTGGTCTGGAACTTGAAAAAATATTTCGATAATATAAGTTCGCTTTGCCAATAACTTACACTGTAGATCTGTAGCCAAGAGCTCGGTGAACTTCTTTTGTCTTTTGTTTCGTTTTAATTTATTACAAACATTCCACAATACACATTCTACCGGTAAACTTCCGCGGGAAAATAATTGTTCCGGTTGAAAACATGGTTGAGAATCAGAAAAGAAGAAAACAATAACCACAAATGTATGTAATCTTTATTATTATTGTCGTGTTCTGGGTTTGTTTTCGTGTAAGTAAAGCGGTACATTTCATAAACTTTCAATTAGAATTACATTCAAAGGACTTATTTTATTTATTCATCCTTCTTTCATTCAAAACAAACAATGTTAAAATTCATACTAAACTTATGATCATTAAATAAATAAAATAGCCTACTGCCTGTCTGTTCCAGGAGATACTCTGACTCTAAAATTCCTCACGATGTCTTCAGTTTTTAATTTAAATGGCCAAAACCTGGTCACATTTAACCTGAAATTGTCATCCCGTTGCTCTTTTCGTTGAGCTTTAACAGTAACACCTAGAAGTTTGATAAAATCCACTATGTGATGTCTATTCTCTTGTAAATTTCACATATTTCGAATGTTTCATTCTCAGAACATAAACCTTACGACTGCGTAATTAGGAATAATTGCATCTCGCGTAAAAGGTAGACACTGATCTAAAAATCGGGTACATACATATGGTTAGAAATATTAAGTGAAGGAAAATTCGCCTCCTTGTTGTGCCGTTGTCCGCAGTTATCTAATTTTTTTCTTTTTGGCGATACAATTGAGTTTGTAGCATATCAACTAAATAATGATTATTCGATTGCACAGAATCAACGGCATAATATGCAAAATGGCACTAACTATAATAATTATTGATATAAAATATTATTATAGTTATAGCCCTCGTAAATAAACAGAGCAAGGAAAGAAGAACTGATTTTCGTACTGTTTTCCCACAAATCTTATTTAACTTTTTCATTATTTAATATTTGTATTCTAAACATTTATATACAAGTAGCATTGGTATATAAGATCAACTGGAAATCCATGAATCAGTTTTGAATTTTGGTCATTTCCGAGAAATAAGCAATTTTGTGGGAGTCACTTTTCAAAAGAATAAAATATTTTTTCATGGCATTTGCACCACTTGATGCCAACTGCGACTGTTCATTATTGCAACCTTCTTGTCATTAGAAATGACGTCATTTTCGCAAAACTTGTACATTTTTTCAACCCACTATTAAACAAACTTTTATATCAAATGTACCTGTTTCTTTATATTTAAATTTTTAATTCCACTCATCGAAAAAGCACAAATCAATGCGAACATATAGATATCTAAAAAGATAGTTTATACCTTAATGGAATTGTCCAGAAGTACCTTTTTATGGTGTTTTGCAAAACACATCTATAGTGATTTTGAAACAAACTATATTTTCCTTGATAAAATAATAAAGGGAAAGTACAATGTTTGACTTAGAAACAGAGAAGACGAAAGAAATGAAGAGTTAAAATATGGGGCACAAGCCGCACAACTGAATGTTACCTAAAACCATTGGCTCTGATCATGACATAAGCGGCCAACATTTCTCATTTCTGAAATTGCTCAATAATCGATATTTTAAAACTGAATCGATAATCGATTTTCAAAACTCTTACCAACGATTATCGGCAATATCAATATTTTGCACCAGCCCTACTCCTATATCTAATTCCAACTGTCAAGGGATCTTTTACGTGCACGCCAATGTGTACACGGGACCTCGGTTTTTCGTCCCATCAGAATGACTAGACAGCTGTCCTTGTCAGGCCCTCCGTCCTGCATCACTGACAAGGGGGGAACCACGCCGGAAAATCTGGATGAACTTTCTCGACCAATGCAGGGATCGAACACCTGACCTCCAGGCTAGCGAGCCAGCGTCCTACCCACTTAGCCACCGTGACCCCCCAACCCTTAAAGCAAATATATGTTTTTCTAAAGCATGTTATTCGATACCCTTTAATAATACTGTTTACTAATTTCCTTTAAGTACCGTAATATTGTGTAGATATACGATCAAGCACATATCACAAAATAATTTTTTACTTTAACCATTGCCAAGAAATGGCCGATTTCGCATTGGTCACTTTGTAAGGATTTCACACGTCAACATGCTTTCATAAATGGCCATTGCGCATAAATTTTATACGTGCGTATCATGCTCATATGGGAATATGTAAAGTGACGTCAGTTAAAGGATAACGGGCACCGGTGAAACCTGTCATGGCTGCATCGCAGTTATAATTTTCTATAATTTTCTGAGCTGTTTCTAAACTATTTTTTTTTGCAAAAAAAATGCTGGTATTTTAATTGGATCATAGATATTCATAGTATTGCATTGCTACCAAAATGTTCCCCACAGTTTCACATAACGGTAATGAATATTTTATTTTTGTGATTTAGGCACACAAGATTTGTTTCAGATATTAAGTTAAAGAAGCGAATCTTAGAAAATATAACCCCTTGAATAATTGATTTTTGTTATCCACAATGTATTATTTCAAGATGAAATTACGCGAGATGTCAAAGAATGTACCAAACTATTATGTATTTATTTCGAGAAACAGAATTATTTAAGATATATATAAGTTCATAAAACGAGATTGCTTACACATTAATTACATCCGTAAAATCGGCTTTAAAGTTTAAAGGAAGGCCCCATCTACAAAACCGGAAAAGGACAAAATCATGTAATCAGAGAGACCATCCACAGATACCTAACCTATGCACGCCAGCATCAACCAGGCGATAATGCGCCACACACAATTATTATAGTCCTTGATTTAAGATGCACCTATATAATAATATATAAAAATCGTTCTACTTTTGTTGAAGGCTACATGAGAAAATAGGGTACATAATATACAGCCTCAATTCAACTTTAAAATTTCTGAGAGTTCTCAAGCCACAATCTTAACCAAAGGAATAATTATGCAACCCGCGATGACATTTGCATATTATGGACCAAGATATTATTCTGTACGCCTATAGTCTCTTTCCAAATTTCCATCACGTATCAGTTCAGGATAAAATTTGTATATAGTTTATATCAATATCAAAATGCTACAGCCCTCTGGGGCCAATATAATATTCAAATCAGTTGGACAAACACCTGTGGTTTTGGTTTCCATAAATATAAAAGTTATATTCTACTGGTCCGAATATAACATCCGAGTAGGCCAAAACGACACAAAGCCAAACCAACGCCCCAGGCTCTCTTTGACTATTCCAGATAATTAGGTCAAACATGGCTGATGTTCAGTTAACAAACCACAATTTTTCAAGAGATAGAGGTTACATAGCTTGATCTGAAATTGGTTCCCTCGTGTAAGAAAGTTATGGTATGCCACTAAGTTTTAGCCGTTTTAATAAAAAAATTAAAGAAATGGCAAGAAATTTTGTTGTCATGTCACCTAGAACAGACAGTAAGTTTAAAGTCTCTGATCGTTATATATGAGTCATTTTAATCCGTTGTAAACTACGCTATATGTTCAAAAATGTTCAATCCTATTTACAAAGATATGAATATGATAATTCCTTTAGCAACAGTCTCTGAACTGATGATGTCCTCTCACGGTTCCTGTTCGTCCATTTTTAAGCTGCAATATGAAAATACCGCTCTAACCCAACCTTCGATAAGAAACCTCATTTCTCAACCCTCTGTGTTTCGAGATAAGAGATGGTACTATGTAGATCCAACTGGCAACCCCCAACGCTAATCACATCGGGCTTCAAATAAGAAAAATTGACAATTTTTTCTTCAAAACAACTATTGATTATTGTTATTTATAACATTTCTGCCACATCCAACTTTAATTAAGCAGAAAATCCTACCTGACACAGGTACAAATCTCCTCTTTTTAAATATAAGCGATAATAGATTGCTTTCCCCGACATTTTTTTAAATTTGACATTATTACCGCCTAAAGGAGGGGCCTTGTGTACAATAGCCAATCAAAGTACTAACCTGATCTGAGTTGCATAGGACTAATACACCGTAATTAATATGAATGTCCGTATCAGTTTTGATAAAAGCAAAGCTTGATTTACTTTATTGACAATATTTGCATATAAACGAAAGTTATTTCACTAGATTGAGCTGCGTATGTTTAATAAGTTCTAGTAGTATAAAATTAACTTATTTTTAAGATTTTACATGCATTATTAGTAAAGTTTGCCAGGTGAAAATAAAGACACCCAATCGTAGATAAAAAGAAGCACATCAGTACATCTCAACGTTTTTAGCTACGTTCTAGTAGTTAACCCCACCTCTGTTCTAGGGCTATGTTGGAATTCTTACCCTCTAATTTTCAAAGAAGAATCACAGTGAAAAATAGAAAGTAAGGGTTCCAAAATAGTTTTAGAACGAGGTGTGGGTAGAGTGGTATTTTCATATTGCTGCTTATTTAATAAATTGATGGCTTCTTTATTTCAGCCAAATTTTAATTAAGACATGGCTGAACGACCTGAAGATCTGAATTTGCCAAATGCTGTTGTAACAAGGATTATAAAAGAAGCTGTAAGTTATATAGGAGGTCATGTAGTGGAAAATACAGACTAAATCATGGAGTCAAAACTGCATGAATAAATGGCAATTAAAGTGATGGCAATTGTACTTATTGTTATATACAGTGGTTATTTTGTAAGCTCTTGATAAAATGTCTATCTAAAACACCATTTCCTTGTAAAATTTAGACCACTGGTTTCAAATAATGGTAACCTAGTATCTTTAAACACTTCATATTTGCTGTTAAGTGTACTCAGTTTGCAGAGACCTGATTCCAATTTTAAAATGAACTGTTTTTTGTTTCAGATCCCTGATGGTGTGAATGTATCTAAAGAAGCCAGATTAGCTATATCTAAGGCTGCTAGTGTCTTTGTTTTA